TTTGATAATATACGATGTGTGTGTGTTCATAAGTATGAGTGTATGTGTGTGTGTGTATGTATGTGTATGTGTGTGTGTGTGTGTGTGTGTGTGTGTGTACATGTGTGTGTGTGTGTGTATACATGTGTGTGTGTGTGCGTGTGTGTGTGCGTGTGTGTGTACATGTGTGTGTGCGTGCGCGCGTGTGTGTGTGCGTGCGTATGTGAAGAGAGAGAGATTTGCTCCTTCTTTAATATATGGCATATCCTTCTCAGCTACCGTGAGACGGCGGCCCGCCTGTCCCGTCTGCACCGTGACCAGCCCCAGTCACCCATGGAGCGGGCCGTCTGGTGGATAGAACACGTCATCCAACACGGCCGGCTGCCCCATCTCCGCGCACGCGCCGTGGAGCTGCCGTGGTACCAGTACTACCTGCTGGACGTGGCCGCGTTCCTGCTGTCCGTCTGTTCAGCTGTCCTGGGGACCGTGTGGTGCGGCTGTTCGCTCGTCTGTAGGAAGTGTTGCACCACTAAAGGTGGCGGCAAGCTGAAGTCTCAGTAGACACCTCTGTCTCTGACATTTTGTAAATAAAACCATGGATAGGGTGATTTAATAGCAACAATATCAAAGTTGGCATCTTCATCACTGACATATCAGATCACTTCCCAATATTCCTTACATCCGATTTAAACGAGCCAATCAGGCAGACAGACAAAATATCTTATCGTCGAGTTAACACAACTAACATTCAGAAATTTACACAATCCCTATCAGAAATAGTATGGAGCGACGTATTAAACGAAACAGACACAGAAAAAGCATATAATCAATTTTTTGAAACATACGGATCGTTATACGAAAAATGTTTCCCAAAGAAAATTACAAAAATCTCCCAACATTCGCGCAGAAAACCCTGGCTAAGCAGTGGATTGTTAAAGTCAATACGCAGAAAAAACAAGCTCTTTGCTAAATATGTCAAGAACCCGACGCCCTTAAACCATAGTATCTATAAAAAATACCGGAATAAGTTAAATCATCTCCTAAAAACTGCAAAGAAGGAATACTATCACAGAAAGTTCAATGAAGCCACCAGTAATATAAAACAAACATGGAACCTGATAAATGACGTTTTAAATCGTAATACTCGTAAAAGTAAATCAGCTGGTCCAAACAAAATACAAATTGGTACCAAAACTACCGAAAATAAAGATGAAATATGTAACGAATTCAATGATTTTTTCATTAATATTGGACCTACGCTTGATAGTAAAATCCCAAAAGGAATACAAGACCCTCTTAGCTACATCACCTTACAAGTAAATTCTAACCTATCAACTTTTATACCACCAACTAGTGCTGAAATTACAGATATTATCAAAAACTTAAAAGACTCAGCTGCTGGTCATGACGAAATTAGCCCTAAAGTACTAAAGTTGTCACTGCCCTATGTTATTGTCCCTCTAACGCATATTCTGTCTCTATCCCTGCAAAATGGAGTTGTCCCTCACCCACTAAAAGTAGCAAAAGTGACGCCTATTTTTAAACGCAGTGATCCACTTAGCGTTAATAACTATCGACCAATATCTGTCCTTCCCTGCGTATCTAAGGTCTTGGAAAAACTAGTATACAATCGTCTTCTGAAACATTTAAATCAAAATAACATCCTATATAAACACCAATATGGCTTCAGAAAGGGCTAATTCTACTTCTCTAGCACTCATACACTTAATGGAAAAAATCTCTACCGCTATAGATAACAACGAATACACTATAGGAATCTTTCTCGATCTATCAAAGGCTTTTGATACAGTCAATCATTCCAT